TCTAAGGCCTTGTGACCTACCACCAATAGGCTGCACAATCAGAAATGTCATGCCCGCGTGGCAGTGAAGTTACAATGGGTTTTTTTTTTTTTTTTTTTGAGACGGAATCTCGCTCTGTCGCCCAGGCTGGAGTGCAGTGGCGCGATCTCGGCTCACTGTAACCTCCGCCTCCCGGGTTCAAGCAATTCTCCTGCCTCAGCCTCCCTAGTAGCTGGGATTACAGGCGCATGCCACCATGCCTGGCTAATTTTTTTTTTTTGTATTTTTCGTAGAGACGGGGTTTCGCCATGTTAGCCAGGATGGTCTCGAACTCCTGACCTCGTGATCTGCCTGCCTCAGCCTCCTAAAGTGCTGGGATTACAGGCGTGAGCCACCGCGCCCAGCTGGTCACACCTAGTTCTAATAACTGAAGTGGGTGACAAGACTAGAGATCACATCCTATTTACATCTTGTAGCAGAGACTGGCTAGCCGTTCACCACGCTGGTTTCTTTTCCTCTTTGGCACATGACTGGATGCTCCCAGCCTCCCAGGCAGCTGGGTGTGTGTGGCCACATGGCTCACTTTGGGCCCATGGGATACGGGCACAAATGATTTGCTCCACTTCCAGGCCTGTTCCATAGAAACCTCCTGTGAGATCCTCTACTTTCTTTTTGCCTGCAAACTTGGGGCAACCTTGAGCAGAGTCTTCATTAGCTTGGATCTCTGAATAACTGCAAGACCAGGGACTCCTCTGCCCCTGATAACTAGACTGTAGGTGAGTGAGAAATGATCTTCTACTGAGATTTCAAGATTAATCTGTTACAGCTGCCAGTGTTGCCTTTAACTTTTTTTTTTTTTTCCCTGCTCTGTCACCCAGGCTAGAGTGCAATGGCACAATCTCAGCTCACTGCAACCTCTGCCTCCTGGGTTCAAGCGATTCTCGAGCCTCAGCCTCTCAAGTAGCTGGGATTATAGGCGTGCGCCACCACACCTGGCTAATTTTTGTATTTTTAGTAGAGACAGGGTTTCACCATGTTGGCCAGGCTGGTCTCAAACTCCTGACCTCAGGTGATCAGCTCACCTTGGCCTCCCAAAGTGCTGGGATTACAGGCATGAGCCACTGCACC